TTAATTCCAGGCATGTCTAGGTGACTCCATGCAAATACATCGGCATTGTGAGACAAGAAGTCAACTAGCTCTTGCTGCTCTTCCTTGGTCAATCTTATTCCTACTCTGGTAGTTCGCTCTGGCCTGGACTGATCGATCTGCACATCCAGAAGGGGCTCTTCGGTCAAATCAACTGACTCCTCCACCCTGTTCTGCTTGGGCGGAGGTTCCTGTAATTGCTATCTGGGGCTTGCCGATCGGACGGGCGCCTTCCCTTTCCCAGCATACTTTAGTGTGACGGAATAACACTTTTTGGCTGCAACCTGATCCCCACGAATGTCTATCACCTTATTTCCATAGGGTCCGAGGCACCTTATGACCTGATGCAAAGTTGAGGGCACACCTTGGACTCTGTGAATCCATCCTCTTCCCATCAGGAGATTGTACGAGGGGTGAATCTCTACAACCACAAAAGTTTCCATAAGAGCTCGTTCTGCAGCTTGAACTTCTACTTCCACCATTCCGACGGGCTCCACCCTCTTGCCATCGAATCCTAACAGGGGATTTCCAGTGGGCTTGAGCCTCTCTGGTTTAATCTCGAGCCGATCAAATGTGTCCCTCGGCATGACATTCGCACTGCTCCCGGGATCGATCAGAACTCTGCGCACCAGGCAATCCGCCACTGTCAAACTGACTACCAACGGGTCTTCATGGGGGACTTAAACACGCTGCAGGTCTGTCCTGTCGAACTTTATCTGTATCGATGTGATCTGCTGGTGTAGAGTATTCACACTGCTGACCCTTTTCTTCATCTGCGCCTACCGTATGTGCGCTCGGAGTAGCTCATCTGAATCTTCGCTGGGCTCGGGTCGACCGTGGATAGCATTGATTATACGAACTGGTTGTGAATTGTGAGAGCTTTGTTTATGACTCCTTTTTATTTGTTCCATCGGTCAATTCTGCTCTGTCGCCGAGCCTTGAACATAACTCGCGAACTCCCCTCTAGCTATCAACATCTCCACTTGCCTTCTCAAATTCCTGCATTCGTTAGTCTAATGACCGAAATAGAAATGGAAAGCACAGTGTTTAGTCTGATCCCTCTGTTCGAGGGGTTGCCTAATTGGCAGTGGTGGATGAAACTTATCTTTGTTCTCCTGATATAGCCTCGCCAGAGTGATCAGCTCTTCCTCCCTAGACCTCTTTTCTGCCTTCCAGGAGGTCTGACGCTGCGGCTGAGCCTGCTTCTGCCTGATCTTTGCCTTGGACTTTTCCTCGGTCGACACGAGCGACGCTGTCCGAGCATTGGCTGCCTCCTCTTCTTCTAGGCGCACAAAGTCGTCGGCTCTTTCATTGAGTTCATCCATAGTCGTCGGCGTGTTCACTACCAGACTGGTATGGAAAGGAGTGCCACGTGTCATGGCTAACTTGAAGGCTTGAACCGCTGTAGAAGGGTGGCATTCGATCACCATACTCTTAGTGAGATTAAACCTGGTGAGAAAAGCCTGGAGACGTTCATCTTTGTGCTGTCTCATTGTGAATAGGCTTGAGATGTCCTTCGGCGGACGCTTGTTCCCATAGTACTGGCTTATGAACCGATCGCACAGGTCTCGGAAGCTACCAATGGAGCTCCTAGGCAAGTTCTTGAACCAGCTGAGCGCCGGTCCAGCTAGGCTTGTAGGGAAACATTTGCACATTAAAGCGTCGTTTTCCGTATTCAGGGCCATCTTCAACTGGATATGGTACACATGATCGATCGGATCGGTTGTTCCGTCAAACAGAATAAAGACTGGCATAGCAAATTTCCTTGGATGCGGGGCATTCAGGATCTCGTCAGTGAATGGTGAATCAACCATCCGAGCCGCGGATCGGAGTGCTTCATTCTCTCTTTTGCGCCCAGTGGTAGCTCTGTGAGCTACGGTTCTGCTCTCCGAACCGCGATGAGTGATTGTAGCCATGGAGGGCCGGTAGGACGGATCGAACGACCGTTCCTCTATGAGCTCTCTTTGCCAAGGCGACGCAACTTGGCGGCGATCAACCTCTATCACTTCCTCTCGGTTGAACCTTTCCCGACGCGGATAGAAGGTCATGGCTTCGTTCTGTCTGATCTGCTCACGTTGCGGATCAACGCGAGTCGATCCTTTGTGATCCTCAACTTGACGAGCATTTGGCGGCAAATCATCCATCCTCCTTTCATCACGGTGGAGAGCTGACTGATTGTTCTCGTCCTGCTCGCCTTGATGCGCGATATTAGATTGAACACCTCCTTCACCGGCCGGAAGTGGACGCGAAACCGCGGGTATTTGCTGATGTTGCATTCCAGCTTTCAATTCTGCATTCTCTTTTTTGAGAGCCTCGATCAAGTTCATCAACTCCTCAAGCTTCATTTGCTGGACAGCCTCCATCGGATTGGAGCTTTCACCTATCATTATTCCTGAACGGAGTAAAGGCATTAATCTCAAGTTCGTGAGTAGATCCGAGCTTCGTGAGTGGGAATTTTTCAGATCTGGTTTCGAATTCTCCGAATTATGCTCACGGTTGACGAGATCTGAATTGTCCGAATTCTAAATCCGTCAGATCCTGCCACAATCGAACAACTCATTGTTGCGTAGATTTGAAGCCACTTTTGCCAAAACAACAGGAACTAAAATTCCTCCAGAGTAGGTCACAATCGCTCAGATCTGGATCCAACTTCAATTCCCACAGACGGCGCCAATTGAAGATGCAAGAAATTCCTCCTCCCTTTCTCTCTCTAGAATTCTTACATTTCAACCAAAAAAAATATCTCCCCTCCTCTATCCATTACTTCTCCTATTTATAGATATTTACAAATGTTGATGGGCTGTTGGATCTAGGCCCATTCCTCTATGAGTTCTGGTCATCTTTGATGGGCTATTCGTATTCGGCCCATATGGCAGTGTCTTTCTATGGGTCTGACCCATCTGTACGGACCGGATGTCGCGTTTGTAAGTCATATCCGGCCCATGTCACTTCGGGCCTCCTCATATATATATTTTAAACAAAAAATATAGAAATACAATTACGCAAAAAATTAACTAAATTTTTTTTTCTAATTTCAAGCTCTAATTTCACGCCGCCGGACATAGTTTAAATCTACTTTCTCTCACTCCAATTCTCCTTATTAGTGAATGCAAGATATCGACATTTTAATATATATATATATATATATATATATATATATATATGTTCGTGTACACTTTCTTTTTTTTTTTTTTTTTGTTTCCCCGGAAAATATATTGTGTGCATTTTTGTGTTGACTATAAACTCAATAATATTTTTGGCATCAACAACTATTATCACTAAAATAGTGTCCTATGAAGGTGTTTTTTGTAAATGCAACAAATGGGAGAGGCTTGATAATGCATGGAACTATGCTCTTGGATGTCCAAAAATATTAACGAATGGCCCATAAGCAGTTGTACTTTTATTTGTGGAAGTTTGAAGAAAGAAAAAATTAAAGTTGGTCACATGCCATCTTAATTATATGATAAAGTTCCTTAATTATTTCTCGGTAGATGATGACTCTTTTTGTTCAAATGTTATTGAAAAATATGTATGTTAAATAGTACTCATTTTGTTCGTTTGAAGATTTGAACCTTAACAATCTACTTTAAAAAATAAAAAAAATATTACTGAGCCATAAGATTCTTGAATGTGAGTAAGTTACCGTGCTCTTGGGGCACAATCGACTTAAAAAAAAAAAAACAAATATCCATTTTCGAAAACCAAGTTCTCGTCTATTTATTCACTTACTTATATATATATATATATATATATATATATAGTATTTTATATGAATAATGATGAAATACAAGTCCATTAAAAAAGGACGGACCAACTCAATCACAACCATACATTTTCGTGAGTTGAAATATCTTTTTTCTTTTCATGTAACCAAGCCATACAAGTCAATAAATTTTATAAGAGGAGTAGGTATACTCATATGGAGTTGACGTGATTCCATATTACCCTCCATTTTTGTTTATAACGAAAATGACCTAATTACCCTCCAAAAATGGAAACATTTTTTTATAATTATTGAGTATTATTGGATGAAAATTGTGTGATTTTCTTTTCTAAAAAAATAAAAAGAAATGTAGTAAAAAAATATAAATGTGAAATTGAATACCATTTTTATTACACCTACACTGATTTATATTGTTATACAAATGCCTATATTATGCAATATGCACACACTATACACGTCCCTTCCATTTTTAGGATTTGATAATTATTTTTAAAAATAATCAATACCAAAACAAGAAGATAATCAAAATTTCAAGTAAAAATATTTATCTAATATTTTAATATTTTCGGTGTCAATCATTATAAAATATAAATTATTTTATTATGGAACCCATTGAAAAATTAGCACAAATGCATCAAAAAAAAATAAAATAAAATAAAAAATAAAACACACAATTCTCAATCAACATTTTCGGAAGTAGGAAATTCAAATAAGGCCATTTAAAAATTAAAAAAATTAGTCATTACTTAGTGCAAGTGAGATAGAAATATTACATGTTTGTCAAAAAAATATTTTATTAGTATAGAACAATTCTGAATCAACATTACCAAAAATGTTGATTCAGAATTGGTCTATACTAATACAAAACATAAATCATTTATCGATAGATCCCTGCTTAAATTTAAAAACTTTTCAAAAAGAAAGCATTAGGCATAGCATGCACCGAATTTATTCGAATAGTAAGTACAGAAAATAACTTGCAGTGCAAATACAATTCAGACGAGCCAAACACACAATTCCCCGGCGCACTCTCAAGGTCCATAAGTCATGTGGTAACTTCTCCCACTGTAACGATGTAATCAGATCGAGTGGGCTCTGCTCCACCCAATGTAACAACACGTGTCACAAGATCCATTGACCTGTGATATAGGCGACGTTTTTTAGGGTGATTTAATTAAGTTCCTCAAAGTCACACAGATCACACTACTTTTATACTATTACCCACACCAAATATGCGTGATTGTGTTTGTGTATATTATATATATATAAAAGAGAACAGAGAGGGCAAAAAGTAAAGGGGGAAGACAAAGGAATCAATAGTCGGCGCCATTGTCCTCGCCGACCAATAATAACGTCCCTTTCACTCCCACCATTACCCCCAACCACACCCCCTCTCTCTCTCTCTAAAACTTTCTCTCTCTAAAATTTTATATACATAAAACCCTATCTACATCCGCCCCTGTTCCATCCGATTCTTTTCTTCTCCCTCCCTTCATCGGTTTCTTCCGTGAATATTTTTTTAACTGATCGGAAGATGTCCGACTCTTAAATATTAGCTTAGCTTAGCATTAGGGTTTCTTTTTTTTTTTTTCTTTTTTTTCCCCCTAGGGTTTTCGTATTTTAATTTTCTCTATCTTGTTTAATTAATTTGTTGCTTTTGTTTGATTTTGAGTTCATCGTTTTGATAATTTTGGTGAATTATGAGAGGGGGTGTTGTTGATCAGTCTCCTAATGGTAAGATCGATGATGTTGAAAAGGATAAGAAAAAGAAGCGTCGACCAAATCGACGACCCAAGCAGAATTCCTCTGTTCCAGGTATTTTTACACATACTATATATGTATATATTTGGTGTTCTGAGTATATATTTGTTTTTTGATTTGTGTGAACTTGTTTCTTTGAATTTTTTGGGTGACGAGTTAATTGGGTTTGGATGTAAAAAAAAGAGTCTTGAGATAGTGGTTTGGGGATTACGATTTCCACATAAAGTCTCCACCTTTTGCTGCGTTCACTGTTGGTGTATTTTATTATTCTTGTGTGTAAATTGGGTTGTTTTTGGGTTTATTTTGTTGTTCGTGTGTGTAAATTGGGTTATTCCGTGAACAATATTACACATATGGAGATTTAATTTAGACCATCAAAAGACTTTTTGTGTGTGTTGGTGGAAACCATCACAATTGTTGCTCTGTTTGGTAGCTGACAAACTGAAAGGAAGTAGAAATTAAGTTGAATTATGCGTTACATAGATTGTCCAAATGTAAAATAAAAAGCTCATCTTAGATATAGCTTTATATATATATATATATATATATATATATATATATATGTATATTTAGTTGAATTGAGGTCCTTATGGTCCTATGAAGCCTGAATAACTGTGTAGCTATTTGCAAATCTTTGCTTCCAAACAGAAAGTGAATATATATATATGATGTATCACGTTATTTACTATAACATGCTGTAGTCGTTGTAATGGCGCATTTTGCTTCTTTTGTTTGCTTTGTTAAGGGTTTGCTCCCCTTTGAGCTCCTTTGTTAATATATATTTACTTATCAAAAAAAAAAAAAAAAATGTATGTATGTATGTACAGTATATATGTGTGTGTGTGTGTGTGTGTGTGGAGGGCAATTGAGGGTGGGTGAATAATGCTTTGATTGATACTGTGAAACTATGTGGGCAAAAAAAGAAAGAAGAAAATAGATTTATGTTCTCATTTGGATGTTGGAAAGTAAGAACACCTGTGTAATTGACTTATATTTCTTATTCTCTTTGAGTTGAGATTTTGAGGAAACCAAAATAACATGGTGAGTAATTATCAATCCCAAGCTGTAGAAAAGATGAACTGCCAGAATAACTGAAGAAATCAATTTTTGCCGGCCCTACCTCCTTTTAAATAAATTGCATTATTCTTCTCAGCATTAGTGTGATTGAAAAAGTGAAAATAAGGAGTATGTATTATACATATTTCCTTATTTTTTTCCTTAACCTTTTTTTATTATATTAGAAGTGCTTATTTTATCAAGGAATATGGATTATACATATTTCCCTCTTTTTTCCTTACCTTCTTTTATTATATTTGAAGTGCTTATCTTATGACTGTTGTGATTTATGGTTATCTGAGTTTATGCCCCTTGCTCCCTCCCTCCTTTGTGCTAGTGTCAGCACTAAGATTATCAATGTAAGATCTCATGTTCTAAAAATTTTTCTTGGAACAGCTTGTAGTTCGGTGAATGAAATACGAGGGAAAGGATCAGAATTCTTGGGAAGTGGTAGCCCATCAAATCATGTCTTGGGAAATGGTAACCCATCAAATCATGTAATCTTGAGTGAGCGTCAACCTCCAGAAGTATCTAATGTTGCTTTCCATTCTTTGCCAACGATGCATATAAATGAGCAAGCAACTTCACAGGAGGGAGGAAATATGCAAAATCAGCAAATGTTTCCATCTGATGTTGGTGAAAGGACGTTTTCAAAATCATGTCCTGTGCCCATCAATTGTGGAGAGTCAATGGTGTCATATGTAAACAAGGATTTTCTTTTGTCTCAGCAGATCTGTCATGTTCAGAGAAAATGTTTTGATTCCCACTGGTCAGTGGAAGCTGTTAATGAAGCATTAGAGGTCCGTTCTATAATGTGTTTCAAGTTAGTTTGATAATGTGTTTTGTGATGCAGTGAAATACTTGTTCTAAGATCATATAATAATGATATTATGGGTAAGGAAAAAGGCTGTAAGCATGTTTGCTTTTACCTTTGCAGAAAGGCGATGTTTTTAAAGCGTTGTTTCATGTGAATGCACACAACAGACTTGAGGTCCGTTGAGATTCTTTTCCCATATTCTTCCTTTTCTAGGATTCTTCTTTTTATGTTTTAAGATTGTTATTTTTTGAGCTAAAAAATACCTGTGCATTCCCATGTGTTGTTAGGCCTACTGCAAAATTGATGGAGTGCCTGTTGATGTTCTCATTAGTGGGATTGCTGCTCAAAATAGAGCTGTAAGTCGGGTTATCTTTTCCTGCTTTACTTCTCTGTATTGAAATGCTACCTTGCCTTCAATTTTCTGTACGTTATGCATTTTATAAACAAAAAACTACACAACTCAGCTTAACTGCATTTAATATATGTTTGTTTTTCCCTGAATGTGTTGATATTATAAAAAAGAAGTATTACAATACAGACATCTAATATATTTATTTTCAATTTCCACATACACTTTATGAAGTAGATCATTGATGTTGTGAATATTTTGTTCTGTTCATAGCCGGAAGTTGATTGTACGCCATCTTGGTATGTATCAAAACTTGGACTTGGAGGGAGTTAGGCTTTTCTTAACAAATGTAGATACCCTAACTCTGAATTTCTTTTGTTCAGAACTCTTACAAAATGTAGTGATATGTTTGCAGATCCATAGAGATCTAAATAACGGAACTATGAAATATATTTACCTACAAATTGTTTTAATATTAACTTCAGACAAGAGATTAATGCTAGAGATGATTAAATTTTCGTAAATATACGAAACGATTTTGAAACTTATCATTGGAATGGAATACTAATAGTGATATTAAGACCTAAAATTAGATCTTGTATTTTTGTTGATTTGGAAACCAGATCTCTGTTTTTAATAGTGTCTCATTAGCTTCTTAATTGAGAAAATGACTGAAATGGAACTTAAAAAGTCTTATCCGTTGCAGCCCATTGGGGCCTCTTAATGGATCACCACAGCAGCATAATGTGTCATTCCACCCCTAAACCTTTGTAACAGTCGTTGCATGTGTGAATTTCAACATGACTGCTATGTTGATCCATAGTTGTCACGTATGTGATTTCCAGCCTGGTGCTATGTACCATAATAGAACATATATATTACTGCATATTTTAGGTTGGGTCTACATTAGCAAGTTAGTTGGAATTTTACAGTTTAGGGACATCTGTTTTGCCTTACCTTTTTTATGAATTGAGGTATAAAAGGCAAAGAAACAGAAGCAGTTGGTGGTCTCTTCACCTGAACTGCACTGTTTTGTGCTTCTTGCTTTTAATTAGGTGTGCTTCAAGCATACTTATTTAAATACATATGCGTGTATACTTGTTAACAGGTATATATAGAGGTCCAGTTATGATTAACAAACTTCTTTTTCATAGGTGGATGGAGATATTGTTGCGATTAAAGTTGATCCTTTGTCGTCCTGGACAAAGATGAAAGGATCAAATGGGCCTTCTAACAATTCTGCCTTGATGGATGATAATAATTTGGTCCCTGAAGTCACTGAATCAGTTGGTAATGGCGACAAAGGGAAAGGTGTATTACATGTAGATATTAAGAGTAATACTTGCTTGCTTCCAGAGAAGGGATTTTATTTTGAGAATGGTAGTTTTTCTGGTGAGAGTGTTAATCCAGAACTAATAGGACCAGTAGGTTGTAATTATGTTAATGGACATTACCCTTCTGCACCAGATATGTCACGGACAGGTGGTTCCAGTGAACGGAATGAAATTGCAAGTCTAGTGGGAAAGTTTTGTGCATTGGTAAGTTCTTTCCCGTCAAAGAGACCAACAGGCAGAGTTGTGGCCATTGTCGAAAGGTCCACTCGTCGGGATGCTGTTGTTGGTTTTCTTAATGCTAAGCAGTGTGTTTCTAGTAGGGAAGGTTACAGAAAAGATGGTAAGAAGAAGAAGAATTCATTGGTTTCTCCCAACCATGACTACATCATGTTGACACCAACTAACCCAAAGTTCCCCAAAATGATGGTCTTTGTGAGAGACCTGCCTGACAGCATCAAGAAAAAATTGGATGATTGTGATGCAACTGTTGAAATGGAACTCGTAGCTGCACAAATTGATGATTGGGGGGAAGATAACTGTTTCCCGCAAGCTCACATTTTGCATATTTTTGGAAGAGGTGGAGAAATAGGACCACAGATTGCTGCAATTTTATTTGAAAATGCAATCATTTCTTCTGAATTTTCTTCCAAATCACTTTCATGCCTTCCACATCTTCCCTGGGAGGTACCACAGGGGGAATTTCAGAGTAGAAGAGATCTTAGGAATTTGTGCATATTTACTATTGACCCCCCTTCTGCCAGGGATCTTGATGATGCATTATCAGTTGAAAGGTTGTCCAATGGAATTTTCAGAGTTGGTGTCCACATTGCTGATGCATCATATTTTGTTCTACCAGACACTGCTTTAGACATAGAAGCTCAAGTTCGATCTACGAGTATCTACATGCTGCAGCGTAAATTGCCTATGTTGCCGTCACTGCTTTCGGAGAATATAGCTTCACTTAATCCTGGAGTAGACAGGCTTGCGTTTTCAATATTTTGGGATATCAATAGTTCTGGGGAGATTCTAGATCGTTGGATTGGCCGTACTGTTATACGATCATGTTGCAAGTTCTCATATGATAATGCTCAGGACATTATCGATGGGTTAGTTGATGTGGGGAGCTTTAATAGCTTAGGAAATACATGCCCCCAATTGTATGGCAATTTTGAATGGTCTGATTTATTTAGATCTGTTAAGAGCCTTCAAGAAATTTCCCAAAAATTGAAAGAGAACAGGTTTAAGGATGGCGCCCTGTCACTGGAAAGCTCTAAAGTGTTTTTCTTATTTGATGAAGAAGGAATTCCGTATGATAGTATGCTTTCTGGACGCAAGGACTCGGAATATATGGTTGAGGAGTTTATGCTTTTGGCTAATAGGACCGCTGCGGAAGTAATATATAGAGCTTATCCTGATAGTGCATTATTGAGGAGACATCCCGAGCCTAACTTGCGGAAGCTTAGAGAGTTGGAAACTTTTTGTGGCAAACATGGTTTAGAATTGGACACTTCTTCTTCTGGACAGCTTCATCATTCAATAGAGCGGATTAGGGAAAAGCTCAAGAATGACTCAGTGTTATTTAACATTCTTCTGTCATATGCCACAAAACCAATGCAATTGGCAACATACTTCTGTAGTGGAGAGCTAAAAGACAGTGAAAACAATTGTGGTCATTATGCTCTTGCTGTTCCTTTCTATACTCATTTTACTTCAACACTTCGTAGGTATCCTGATATCTTAGTACATCGGACACTGGTTGCGGCAATAGAAGCTGAAGAGCTGTATCTGAAGCACAAAAGAACCTTTCTAAAATTGAACAAAGGAGAGGAAAACACAAGAAGATGCTTCACTGGCATTTGTTTCGATAAAGATGCTGCAGAGTCGGATGAAGGCCAGGAAGCATTGTCTGCTGCAGCATCAAAATACAGAGTTCCATGCACAGAAATACTTGCAGATGTTGCTGCTTATTGCAATGAGAGGAAGCTGGCTGGTAGGCATGCCAAGGATGCTAGTGATAAGCTATACATGTGGGCTTTGCTGAAGAAAAAAAAGGTATGTTCTCCCTTAGTCCTACTGCCTAATTTGCAGTTTATTACTCTTATGATAGTATTTTGCAATTTTGCCATTGTAATTCCAACAAAATGCAATTGAGGGTAGATTCTAATATCTTTGCGAGACCCTAACTACAGACTTTTCCTGCACTAGTTTCTCCTCTTCCTACTTTCAATTTTTTATATGTCCATCCACCAGTTCTAATGTTTTTCATGACATCTATTTAGCTATGTGACTTAATATTTTATACTGTAATTGGCAATTGCTTAATAGTTTCTTCTTGAATTATTCTTCCTCACACTTGCTGCAAGAGATATGAAGCCATTTTTTAGCCACCCCAACAACCCAAACACACCCCCCCCTCTCCCTGCTTGCAGGGCCCAAAACAGACAATATATGCATTTTCCCAATAGAATCCTTCATCATGGACATTCTGTTCAACTTGAGAGAATGTTTTCCCAACTACTTGTGGTCAGTTACATAAATGTTGATTTGCTATATCTAATGCCAGTCTTCATTTTTATTATTTTTTTATTTTTTATTTTTTATTTTTGATTAGTAATGCCAGAGTCTTCGTTACTCATGCTTTGGTATCTTTCTCAACCAAGCTATTATAACTATCTCAGCCCCCTGTTATTTGGTTATCCCCTTCCCTAGCATTACCCTTAACAATGAAACACTAAATATTTGAAAATTCCATGAACTCTTTTTTGAGAGTTCAATTGTGGATACGCCTTTGTTGCTTGTGGATTTGTCCAGGTTTTTCTTTAGTTAATTTTCATGTGCACAAAAAAACAATTTTTTATTTTGTTTTATTTATTTTTAGTGGAAGGGTGGGGAAGAGGAAATTGAAGCTAAAATTATTCACATTAAGTCATTCATTTTTTCTTTTTTAGGATGAGAAACACTATATTAAAATAAAGGTTCCAAAGAGGTTCACAAGTTGTCCTTGAAGAAAGAAGCTGTCTGAGAGAAAATAAAAATATGATGCAACTCAATCGTGTAGGTAAAACATGCTTCACAGAACTCACTCTACCTAGTATAGGAAGTTAGCCTCCTGATTTACTAATGGAAACAAGAGCTTTTCTATTCATTTATTGGTGCGCCCAAGAAAAAATGGATTGAAGTGCTGTTTGATAACCAAATTCAGCACTTAATTCTAAACAGATTAAGTGCATTTGATAATGCAATTTACCACTTAAAAGGGGGTAAACTTTTATATGACAATGGCATCACTTATCATGGACTGCTGAACGCCTAAATCCAAAAAACTATCAAAAAAATTCTCAACTTGCAATTACCATTTAAAAATCCAGCATTTAAAATTCAGCTCTTGAAATATTCAGTTTTATCCAACAGGACCTGAGTTTCCCTAATCAATTCATGTTCTTTGATGTCTTTGATAATCTTGCTCGAACTTCCCTTTTCTTCGTCCAAGCGTGCACTCTCTCTCTCTTTCTGTATATATATATATATGTATGTATGTATGTATTTCAAGACATCTATGCCATATAAGGTTCTGCTATGATCTCTAAAGAAGCCATATGTGTGAAAAGTAGTGTAGATTGGTAAGTTGTTCCCTATGAAGGCTGATGGTCTCAGGTACTGTGTAGCAGCAACAATAGATTCATGTGATCTTTCAGGGTCAAGTTATTAACATAATTGTAAAGGAGCAATGAGATGAGGCTATTTGTAGTTTGAATATGTCGATACGATACTTTAGCAGTGTCACTAAAGGTGAAGGTTGGATGACTAAGGAACTTGATAGGTGAGATCGAAAAGTGAGAGAGATGCATTTGGGTGCTAATATGTGCTCTTCCAAGTGTAACCTTCGATCTGTTTGAGCAGTATCGTAAGACCCTGCAAACAAAACAAGATCGATTTCTAGATTAGTTGGAGGCACCATAGCATAGAAGAAAAATGAAGTGGAAGCTTTCATAACCGTGCTATCGGGCAAGGTAACATTACTATTTTTGAGATGTGAAAATAGTTCATGTGAGGGCTGTGGATAGATTGAAGACTATGGTGGATTATTGGACATAGAATGGTTATGGACTCGGTAAAATTAACTAGAATACCTTGGAGTTGGAGCATAGACTTTTACTCAAGTGGTGGATGGATGTCATTTGCTGCATGTAGTAGTCCAACTAATTGGGGGTCAGTTTAGTTAGAGACGGGAACTGATTAAAAAGTCAGATCAGTGTGGATGAAGTTGTATGAAGTAGTTTGACAGATTTACAAGTGAAATGCAAAATGAGGTTAAGAATTATACTGTTTTGCCAAACTGCAAACTGCAAACCAGATGAGGTGCATGCTTGGGTAAGCTAACCTTTGTCTTTGGTAGATAAGGTATCATCAGTAGGCTTAATTGGAAGTTGGTTAGTATAAGGAATAGTTTAGGCTGGATGTTTGCAATGCGATAAAGTTGGGTTGTCAACACAAGTTCAGGTTAAGCTTGTTGATTTGGCTAGGCTTATTTGGGCCTGTGCTGCTCCCTATTGCAAGCTCACCTTACATTGAGCGATTTTCTCTATCCATATATATATGTGTGTATGTATCTGTATCTGTATATGATATGTTGAATGTTTTCTTAGTATTACTTATTGTATTTACTCATCAAAAAAAAAAAAAAAAAAAAAACCTTACATTAGTATCATAAATCACGTAAAATAAAATCTCAGATTTGGATTTATCAAACTATTATAACATTTATTAGTATATTTGGAAAAAACTATAATAGTGAACATAAAATGGTTGTCTTTATTCCTAAGGTAAAAATATGATCAAAGTGAATGCGCGAAATTAGAAGAACAAACATAATCAAACACGAATCATGTGAATAGGCTTGGAAGATTGCAATAAGACAAGATATTTTTAGAACTAGATTGAAAGGAGAGGATTATAAGATAGACTTGCCTTGAAGAGAGGTACCTTTTTTTTTCATTTGTGAATTGAGACAAGAAAATTTTAGACTTTGCCATGAAATAGAAAAGCTAACAAAAAATTATAGTAGGTTAAAAGATTGAGATTATTGTAGAAATTTTCTTGTAGGGCAGAAGTGGTAGCTGTGTGTGCGCGCAAGCGTGAGCGTGTTAGAGAGAGAGAGAGATCTTTCTTAGCAAGATTTTTTGTAAGACTATTGAAAGCTGAATTATCTTATCTGCATCCTATATACTTCCGGTCCTGTTAGTGCACGGCCTGCGCTTAGTTCAAAGGCCAGAACCCCAGTGAACATAAAACGGTTGTCTTTATTCCTAAGGTAAAAATATGATCAAAGTGGATGCGCGAAATTAGAAGAACAAACATAATCAAACAAGAATCATGTGACGAGGCTTGGAAGATTGCAATAAGACAAGATATTTTTAGAACTAGATTGAAAGGAGAGGATTATAAGATAGACTTGCCTTGAAGAGAGGTACTTCTTTTTTTTTTTCATTTGTGAATTGAAACAAGAAAATTTTAGATTTTGCCATGAAATAGAAAAGCTAACAAAAAATTATAGTAGGTTAAAAGATTGAGATTATTGTAGAAATTTTCTTGTAGGGCAGAAGTGGTAGCTCTGTGTGTTCAAGCGTGAGCGTGTAGAGAGAGAGAGATCTTTCTTCGCAAGATTTTTTGTAAGACTATTTTTTTTGATAAGTAAGATTTTTTGTAAGACTATTGAAAGCTGAATTATCTTATCTGCATCCTATATACTTCCGGTCCTGTTAGTGCACGGCCTGCGCTTAGTTCAAAGGCCAGAATCCCTATTTGGGCTCGAAAATGTTCCCAAACCTTTTGTCCATCCCTCTTGGTTGAAGCTCCAAAATTTACTTCAACCGTATTCCTATCTCTTGGTCTATGAATAACCAATGCCATGAAGCCTCTTCATTTGTCTAAAACTTATTGGGGTGTGGTAGGTTGGAAGAGTGGGAAGGACAGATTAAAAGAAAAAGAGGATGGATGGATGGAGTTTTTACTGGCTTGTAAGAAGAAAATGAAGAGGGGAAGAGGAGCAAAGCTCTCCCGCCCTAGCTTGCCATATTTTACCATCCAAAGTGTAGGTGGAGAGGGCAAGGAAAGGGAAGGCTTGTTCTTTATGTTTTTGCCCTGCAAACTACACTCCCGTTAGTATTGTTGGTGTAATGGTAATGACTAGCAACACCTCTTCCCTTCCTCATTCTTTTTTTTTTTTGCTTTAACCATAGAAACTAGATAAAAGGAGGGATGAGTAGCTTGCTTAACATAGGGATGCCTTTTCATCCCTCTTTCCTTTTATTTTAAACCAATTTTCCATCTTTCTTTCCAAGTGGGGCATGACTCCTAGTTTGAATGACGGTGTGGTTAATTTATTAACAAGTTGGGTCTTGGAAATATATCTTCTGGGGTCTAGTTTCAGAAAGAATAGAACTGATCTAGAGGTTAAGTCTGTCATGGAAGTGCTCAAATGTTGTGATAAAGGCATGATGGTAGAATTGACAATTCAAGATGTTTTCTGATGTTTAAATTAGTTTCCTGCTATATATGATTTATTTTGGGTTATTTTGCATTTCCTGACTGGTTCTTTATTTGCTCTTGTGCAGAATTTTTTATCGGAAGCTAGAGTATTGGGCTTAGGCCCAAGATTCATGACCATATATATTCACAAGCTAGCTGTGAGTAGCTTCTAACCTCCTCTTTGATTGTTACTATTGCTTTCTTTTTGGTCACTATTTGCTCCTAAATTTTACTTGACGTGTATACTGCTTTTATGCTTCTAGATTGAGCGGCGCATCTATTATGATGAAGTTGAAGACCTGAGGGTTGAATGGCTTGATGCTACATCCACATTGGTGCTCAGTTTATCTACAAATAAACGCATTCATTGGAGAAGTAGCCCAGGCAAATGGAGGACAGTTGAAGAGGTTGCATTGGTTACAAATCCTTTGGAGTTGAAGCTGGCATTGGATTTGTCTGGAGACAGTAGGGAGGGTGGTGCATCAGAAGTGGAAGTGGATACTGGTGCATCATATGGGAATCCAGCACGAAGCTTAGATGTTATTGAAATTGAACCTGCTGTTTTCCCCCTTACTGTGCATCTACTTTCAACAATCCCCGTCGTGCTTTTTGCAGTTGGTGGGGATGATGGGCCCCTTGATATAGGGGCAAGGCTGTTCATGAGCTCATACCTCTGTACTTGAACTCATATTCAGGTATTTGGAGTTATGAAGGCATGTTAATAGCTAGTGACAGATTTGTGAAGATGATGGAACAGGGTTCTATTTGGGAGGACAAGCCCAGTTGTAGATAGGAGGGTATTGTATAGCTAAAAATAGTTGGGACAAGGAAAAGCCTATGGTTAAGATTTGTGATACTTTTACAAAGTATGTTTGATACTGGATTTACGTTTTGTTGGAGTTGTAGATAAGGAAGGGGATTTGCCGTGGCCGACACTTAGTGGCTGTTTTTATCAAAAGCTGCTTGTTGGAAAATCGGCTCTTGTTTTTGTTTTCGGCCATCCCCATCCAGTATAACTCAGTTGACCGTGCCTGTACCTGTATCTGGTTCTTCAATGTTGATGACATCGGAAGCTAATTCGTGTTATGTTTCAAGTTATTAGCTTTGTTGGACTGCAACCCAAATATTTTTTGATTTTGGGTTTACTGGTCTAGTTATAATTTTGTAACTCGACTCAACAAAGCCTATTTTTTTTTTTGTTTTCTTTCTTTCTTCTTTTCACTATATAGTCGACTTTAATTCTGTATGCTTCTAAAAGCAGTACTTGTGGCTGACAGAAGTGGGCGACCTTTGGCAGTCATTTTTTTAGTTGAATAAAATGATATCATCTGTTCTTGACATGGATTTTAGTTGGTATAGTATTTTTAGGTTGTTGCCTGATACTTGTGTTATTTGGACCTCTCTGGTTTAGGTGAATTATTTTAATGCAACGGCCACCAAGTCAAACGTTGATGAGGAAGGTGATGCCAGTTCTGATGCCTTGGTCAATTTCTGGTCTCCGGGTGCAGATGGGAGGCTGGTACCATATGGAGAACGTTAACGTCGATTCTCCTTTAGATGTCACTGCTGCGTGGGAAGAAAGTCCGGATTGGTTGATAATTGATGCAGGTACAGATTGGGAAAGTGGCAAGTTTGAAATGGTCAGTTTAGAAACAATGCTTCTTTTGTTCACAGGATTCATGTAGCAGATGTCAAATAGTTAGGAAAAGACATTGGTTGTGGTAGTGGTGGTGTTGGTTGTTATCTTACGACGAATGTCTGGATCATTCCTTCCATTCTCCTATAGGTAAAATATGTTATTGATGATGTCTAGGACTAAAACGTCCCTATATATATTCGTAATATGTTTGTGTTTGTGTGAGCGTCAAGTCCTTGAGGTACACCTCATTTCCTTTGCCTAATCAGGAGTTGAATTCAAGACCTTCACTTTCTGAAACGGACCCCCTGGAGGTTCCGTTCCGAAAGATTCCTGGAAGAGGAAGATAGCAACTGTATCTGGTAAGCAATTGTGGACATTATAATAGGTGAAAAGGGACAAAGTAAAGCTACATGCATCAGATACATAGGGTACAATAAAAGGCATAATGATCACTTTAAGCTATTAGTTGCTGAAGTTGCTTCAAAGTAAACCCTCAGTCATTTATTATATGGTCGAGTATTTTATGGACCATCAAGATATGAAGCAACATTGTGAATGAAATTCCCTCTTAAAATTAACTCCATGAAAGAAAGGATTCCAATTCCCGGGAAAGAAATTCACAAACTGATTGGCTTTTCGATAACTACAAGTTGAGAACAAACAGAGTTACAACGCAAGCACATAAATCAAGACTCGGTTCCCGTCTCTGGCAAAGCACCATCAGCAGCAGAATTTTGAGCTTCTAAAAGCTGCTTTTGGCGTTCCGCATGTTCTCTTTCACAAGCGCTAATCCCCAAGATTATATCGAGCATTGTACCGGTTGTGCCGAAGAACACGAGAGGCGCCAAAGATTTCCGCTTGATACCAACTGGAATCGCGAGCAAAGCACCAGCTACAGAGAATACCCATGTGCCCAACGCGCTGCAAACATTCTAAATTTATTAAGTTCATATCACACAAAGGTTCTGTATGAATGAAGACACATGGATTCCTTACTATGTCAAAAACACAATTCATATAACGACAAAATTGCAACCTCTTTTGTGTCTCCTTGAAAAAAAAAATTATCTCAAAATAAAGCAGAAACCAATAAATGAACAAAGCATCTTTACCAAAATAGCAAACCAAAAAAAAAAAAAAAAAACTTGGCATCTTTTATGCCAGCTACCAATTTTAGCAGCTTATGTACTCTTCTTGCCAAATACCAAGAAGCAGTTCATAACATACAATCCCACACACTGATATGAAAATAGATTGCTGTGAACACAAAGGTGAAAAAGAATAAATTCTGATAATTCCCTTCTCATATATCATATGTTAGTTTACAGGCCTATATATATAGAAGTGTATTACAAATTCTATCTAAGGAAAAGATATATACATATCATAATTTTTTTAAAAAGTTAACTATCTAATTATGGATAATTCCTAAAAATCCTCCCTAACTAATTTCCTAACAATTCAGCCTAAATCTTTCCACACTCCCCCTTAAGCTGGCTTGAAAAAATATCTTGCATTCCCAGCTTGCATGTAAGATTGTCAAATTTCCCCTTCGGTAATCCTTTAGTGAGGATATCTGCTACCTGCTCTCCTGTATGAATATAGGGCATACATATCACTCCTCCTCCAAATTTCTCCTTGATAAAATATCGATCAACTTCCACGTGCTTAGTCCTATCATGTTGGACAGGATTCTGAGCTATGTTGATTGCAGCTTTATTATCACAATAAAGCTTCATAGACATTGGACTTGAGATTTTAAGATTTTCAAGTAATCTTTTCAGCCACAAAAGTTCACAAATTCCATGAGCAACTGCTCTGAACTCAGCTTCTGCACTCCTTTGCTACAACGGTTTGCTTCTTGCTCTTCCAAGTTACCAAGTTTCCAACAACATAAGTACAGTAACCTGAAGTAGACATTCTATTCGTCACACTACTTGCCCAATCAGCATCAGTATAGGCTTCAATCCTTAGATGGCCGTGGTTTTCAAACAACAAACCTCTTCCAGGTGATCCCTTTAGGTATTTGAGAATCCTTAGACTGGCCGAGTGTGTGAAAGATAAATGAGTACATAAATTGACTCACAACACTCACTGCAAAGGCAATATCTAGCCGAGTGTGTGAAAGATAAATGAGACTTCCAGCCAGCCTTTGGAATTGCTCTCGATTCACCACTTTTTCTGCACTTGCTGCCTGCAACTTTAAATTGGGCTCCATAGGTGTTTCCACCGGTTTGCAGCCAAGTAAACCTGTTTCCATGAGTAAATCCAACACATACTTCCTTTGAGAGACAAATATTCCTCTCTTGGATCTGGCAAATTCCATTCCTAGAAAGTATTTCAAAGCTCCAAGATTTTTTTCTCTCAAATTCCTTTGCAAGAAAAGACTTCAAATCCTCCAATTCTCTTTTATTATCTCCGGTCAAGATTATGTCATCCATATAAACAATAAGTATGGCTATCTTACCATCACTTGAATGTTTGTAGAACAGAGTGTGATCAGCCTGACTTTGATGATATCCATGACCCTTGATAGCTTTAGTGAATCGATCAAGCCATGCTCTGGGTGATTGTTTCAAACCATATAGTGATTTCTTCAATTTACACACCTTTCCAGCTCCATAATCATTTTCAAATCCTGGTGGTAGATTCATAAACACTTCTTCCTCTAGCTCACCATTTAAGAATGCATTATTTACATCTAACTGCTGCAATGGCCAACTCAAGCTTGCAGCAAGAGACAACAGCACCTGTATGGAATTTACCTTTGCCACCAGGGCAAAGGTTTCCTGGTAATCTATTCCATATGTTTGGGTGAAGCCTTTAGCTACGAGTCTCGCCCTGTATCTCTCAATATTAACATCAGCCTTATATTTGATCGTGAACACCCATTTGCAGCCTACGGTTTTCTTTTCCCTTGGCAACTCAACAATCTCCCAAGTTTTGTTCTTATCAAGAGCCCTCATCCCTTCCATAACTGCTGCCTTCCACTCAATATGATTCAAGGCCTCATGTATAGTTCTAGGAATTGAAACAATAAAGAGATTAGTGGTAAAAGCTCTATAATTTGGAGACAATCTATGGTAGGACACATATTTAGCAATATGATGCATGGTACAAGAGTGAGTACCCTTTCTAAGTGCAATAGGAATATCAAGGTCATGAGAAAGACTCTCTTCATTGCTGGTTTCAGGAATTAAAGATAGATTAGAGACAGAAATACCTATTTTATACAAGTTGCCTTTATTCGGAGAATTTTCTTGGCAGGTAGTAGGTTGGTGCTCTTTATTTTGATCCTTCTTTCTTCGAGAGTAAACACAGAGCCTAGATTGAGGTTGGATTTGAAGTGGTTCTCCCCCTGAAGTGTAGTCTATAATGTTTGACTCAATAGGCTTCGGAGAGGTTGAAATAGTGGGTTCAGTTGGTAAGGTATAGTTTGGAGAAATGCTCGGCAATGATAAAGAGCCCAATACTTCCCAAAAATGGTCTTCCCTCTCATTACTCTTCCACTGAAGAGTATTTTTGGTGAAATAGGGTTGAGTCTAAAAAAAAAGGTCACATCCATACTCGTAAAGAATTTTTTAGAGGTGAGGTTATAACATTTATACCCTTTCTGTTTAGGAGTACCCAACAAACATGCACTTTTCAGCCCTAGGATCAAGTTTTGAACGGTCCCGTGTATGAACATATACAAAAACAGTGCATCCAAACACTTTAAGAGGTAATGAGGTGAAGATCCTAATATGGGGAAAAAATGACAAGAAGCTGTTTAGGGGCGTCTCAAATTTTAACACCCTAGTTGGCATTCTGTTGATCAAGTATGAAGCTGTAAGAACAGCCTCACCCCATAGATATTTAGGAACCCCCACAGTGAACATTATTGCCCTAGCAACCTCAAGTAAATGACGGTTTTTTCTCTCAGCTATCCCGTTTTGCTGTGGGGTATCAAAGCAAATGGACTGATGGAAATTACCATTTTCTTTCAAAAAAATCACCAAGAATAAAGTTAAAGAATTCTTTTCCGTTGTCGGTTCTAAATACTTGAATCCGGGTTTGAAACTGGTTTTCAGTCATGGCATAGAACTCTTTAAACACTCTCGCAGCCTCAGATTTTTCTCTCAAAAGATATACCCAACACAATCTAGTATGGTTATCAATGAAAGTGATGAATCACCTAGTTCCAGTCACATTAGTAACCCGAGAAGGCCCCCACACATCACTATGAATCAAATAAAATGGATTGGATGCTAATGCTTGATATAAATGAGAAGGATAAGAAACACGATAATGCTTTGATAATTGACAAAATTAACATTGAAATAATAAAGGATTCAAATTTTTGAACATGGATGGAAACAAATGTTTTAAGAGAAACTGGGATGGCCTAACCTATAGTGCCATAACATTTTTGACTTTTAATAGAAATAGAAATATCACTACTACTTGCAGCTTGAGCTTGTCCACTCTTGAAGATTTCATTATCAAAATAATATAGTCCATCAACCATCCTAGCACTGCCAATCATCTTCCTCGAATATAGGTCCTGAAATTCAGAGTGAGACTCAAGAAATTTGACAACACAGTTACATTCTTTGGTGAGTTTACTAACTGATAAAAAGATTGCATGAAAGGTTAGGCACATGGAGGACAGATTTTAAAACAAGGTTTTCTGAGACAACTATAGAACCTTTTCCTACAACTAGGGACAAACTACCATTAGCAATACGAATTTTTAAGTGACCAGAATTTGGAATATAAGTACTAAACAAATGTGATAAACTAGTCATGTGATCAGAAGCACCAGAATCAATGATCCAAGGTGCCGGATTTAAAGAACTAGTGAGAGCACTTAAAGAGCTACCTTTTTGGGCAAGAGAACCTGAGGAGACACTTGAAACTTGAGTTTGGTTCAACAGTTTGGAGAGATGATCAAGCTGCTCCTTACTGAATGGAGATGTCTCGGTTTCGATAGTAGCCTGCATTCCACGCCCATTCTTGTCTCCAAATCTGCCTACCTTCCAATTTGCTGGTTTTCCATGTAGTTTCCAGCATGTTTCTAGCGTGTGCCTTGGTTTGTTACAGAAATCACACCAGATCTTGGTTTTCTCTTCAATCTTCCGCTATGGGTGATTTGTTTGTTTTGGATTAACTGCAGCTGCTGCCATTTCTGTGGTTGTTACATTAAGTGCAGAGTTCTCACTATGAGTGCTAGAAGATTTCTTCCCATCATCACCAACCTGCGGCTTTCTTTCCTCCTAACTTCCGAGTAGACTTCTTTAGTGGTAGGCAGTGGCTCTTTGCCTAGAATACGTCCTCTCACTTCGTCTAACTCAGCATTGAGTCCAGCCAAAAATGCAAAAACACGGTCCTTCTCAACTGTTTTCTTGAACACACTATCACATGCACACTTCCATTCAAAATCATAAAAGAGGTCAAGTTCTTGCCACAAACCTTGTAATATGTTGTAATACTTTGTAACAGTTTGATCTCCTTGTCTTGTTTCTCAGATCCTTGTTTTAATTTCATAGACTTGTGCGGAATTGCCTAAGTCTGAGTATGTCTCACTCACTGCGTCCCATAATTCTTTGGCAGTGGAGAGATACATAAATGTTTGGCATATGGTGGATCATCTTCCTTTGGGGCCTGTTTTGCACCAGTTAAATAACCAATCTTCCCCCGCCCTCAGACGAACAACTTTACGGATTATAGAAAATTCTATCCATTTAGCAGATGAGTAGTAATTTAGAGGGGATTGGGTTGTCACTTGAACCAAATGAAGTGATATGGGATTTCCAAGCATTTGAAGAATCGACCGAAACTTCCGCAGTGGAGATTCCAGACATCGCGGATTTAACCAAAGAAATTGTCCAGAAACAACGAAGAGAAATAGAAGAATAAGTCTTCTATAATTCTGGTATAAA